GGAATGTTTTTTCCTTTTTCAGTGTGTTCAAAGTTCTATTACTCAATACCAGTAAGACTTACAGTGATTCTGAGGTTTCTTCAACCTCAGAGTATCACCTTTCAAAAGAGACCAAAACCATGCATTTACTCCAAATGGTTCAAGAACAGCATGCAATTTACTTTGGGTATGCCTTTTTTTAGGCGTTTTAGGCTAATTTTACAGGAATGCTAAGGGGATCATTTAAGAATGTTCAGATATTTGTACTGTAAGACAAAAATGCTGAGCAAGAAAATACGTTTTGCAGTGTAGTGACATTTATTTAAATCCAGTGATTTAAAAAGGAATCCACATGATCTGTAATTTTGTGTGAGGCGAATGAACTGAAATCCCGTGACTGCACTTTTCCACATAGAAAAAGTTAATGAAATCATGAAATCGCTAAGATTGTGAGATGTATTTTTTTGTTGTGCAGGATCAACTGTTATAATGCCCTGAGCTGCCAGTGTCCTTTTGGAGGATTCAAAATGTCCGGCAATGGTCGTGAACTGTAAGTGCATTTTAAAATGATATAACATCACAATTGCATATTCCATACATTTGTGTTTCCATTAACATCACTGTTCTCCATTTTCCAGGGGTGAGATCGGACTGAAAGAGTATACAGAGGTGAAAACCATTACAATGAAGATGTCAGGGAAGAAATCCTAAAGTACAAATATGTACGTTCCTAACAGCGGGAAGTCTTCCTCTGAGGTTAACCACTAGCCATTATCCTTTGGTTGTCTATAGTGGTAGAACACCACACACAGTAACCACCCATCACTTCTGCATTGGAGCACCTCTTGTCCTTCATCCTCATAGGCTGCCCTTCATCTCCATCCCGCATCCACTAGCAGCTCCACATCCACGGCCACAATTAACCGCCTACACCCATTCCAGCTGTGACCTCCTTTTGCCAGCTCCACTAACCATACTAAAGCACTCGGAGTCCTGGTGAAAGAGGGCTACGCTTTTGACCACTGCACCAGCAATGTGCAGACACTAACAGACTACGACCACTCTCTCTGATGATCTCCTACGTCAAGTGATTTTACACACCACATGGCTAAAGGAGGTCTGAGGGGTGCCATTCTCAAACCTCATAATTAACTTGTCTTTCAACTGGGTAGAAATCTAGTAGGCATATTAGTTTTTACTAAGACCACTGAAGCTCTCTATCTCAGAAAAAAATATGTTTTCTTTGAATGAGTATTAATTCTAAAATTTGTGTAATTGCTTTGTATTTTTATTTTTCATTTCATTGTTTGATTGTTTTACTTTGTATAACTTTGTTGATGTCTTGACCAATGTAAACAAAAATGATTTACCTCAAAAAGAAAAAAAAGAAAAAGAAGAAAAAAAATCTTTGGTGTGTATTTTCGACAAATGATTCTTCATTGATGCCCATTTATTGTTAGGTTTAAAGAATTATGTACTATGAATATAGAAGTTAAGGTATAGAGTAATTTCTTCATTAAAATGTCTTCTCTTGAAGGTGATTTTCTAGTTGTCTTGTTACAGATTTATGACTGGAAAGTTATGACTGAGGAAAAAAATCATTAGTAAAAGGGGGAAAAATCCCTGTACAGAGATCCTTTGCAAGATGCATTTTTGCTTCAGTTGTTGCATTTTTTTCATATGACTCTGAGTATTCAGATTTATGTCAAACAGGGTGAGAACAGTCAGAGATTGTTTGGTAAGAGCTCTTTAGATATGAGCAATATGAGCCAGATAAAAGAAGCACCCAGTAGTGCAACTACCTTAGAAGTTGCATTCCCAAAGAAACAGTCACAATGGATTTTCCCAGCAGCCCAGCCAATCTGCTGATATCTTCAGTCAGAACAACACGCATGATGAAAAGACTTGGCTACTTTACACAACACTGGTCTGGATCTGGAAGAGCAGAAAAGGACAGCACAGAGCTTTGAACTAGACCACAGAAAGACCACTAGAGTGATAGTTGGCCTTCCTGTGGATCACGTGGAAATTATTCTGAACCATTTCCTTATGAGTTAGTATGTGACAACAATTGAAGAACAAAAGTGGTTTGTTTCAACTCAAAAACAGTGTTGCATGTTTTCAAGTGTGAACCAATCAACACAGGAAAGTGTTGTAGGTTGCAGGCGAAAGGCCTTACAAGGATTGTTTAATCTATTTGACATTGTTGCACAATGGTGTCATCAACCCTTCCCTCCTTAGGAGTCTGTT